GTTGCTCTTCAAACTCCGCTCCCCCAAGTTGTCCTGGATGGTCCTTCAGTTGGGCTATTTTTTGCTTTTCCTTTTTTTGTTGGGGGGGGAGGTGCCGCCCTTCAAACTCAGCCAAGTCGCCCTTCAGTCGTTGGTGCTTCTTTTCTCTTGTCGAATCATCTTGAGTAGTTGCCTTAGTGCCCAGTTGTTTCTCCTTGGGATGCGGCTCCCCCTCACCGAGACCAATGTTCCCATGTCTGAAAACTGCGGGTTGCCCGGCAGACATCAGTTTGCCCGAAAAAAGGCGTCGGCTCCAAACCACCGATTCGGCTTAGTGGGAAGCTGAACAAAAATGGTTTGCTTTGGCCACCCTAAGGGAACACTGCTTGGCAAGGGCTCAGCATGTTTGGCTGTGATTGCTTTCGCCTGGAAGTCACTCGTTTTGGATGTATCCTTTGAGGAACCCTGATTCCCATTTTGATTAAATTGACTCGTATACATTTAGCCACTCAACGTCCGTGTTGTACCTCTTTGGGCTCGGCGGCTGTCCTTTTTTAGGACGATTGGATTTTTTCATTGTATATCTCGAAGAGCATGCTTGTGCATGCCCCTGCGTAGTGCTTGACCCTCACATTCCGTCGACAAATTCAAAGTAATACGAAGTGACCGGTTTAGCAGGGCTCCTTAAAAGATACATTTTGCCCATATTGAAACATGGCTTTTTCCACCAACATAAAAGGACACGACCATTGTACAAGGCAATGTTGAGGTGTATAATGTAAGGATCCCTGTTTAAGACAAGTTGTCTCCAGGCATGAACCTGCCATTTGGAGACGGCCAGGACGAAAAATCCGGGTTTGTGGATGAGATCACCCAGATCGAGGCCGCGATCAAAGCGGAGCAGGAGGTCAAGATTGCAGAGGCGGCTCGGGAGGCGGAAGCAGCAAGAGAAGCAGAAGAAGCTGCAACTGCGGAGATCCGGGTTCGACATTAATTTAGAAAATGAGGGGGGGTTGAGCCCATTTTGGGCTTGTTTTTTCTAAGGATGTCACCTCCCATGGCGGGGTTGGCACTCCCCATTTTCTAAATGGTGAATAAAAGAAGATGGGTCTGGTCAGGAAGGGTTCTAGGTTGGTCCCCCACATTTTCTAAAAATGGAAATTTCTCAGTCTGGATTGGTTGACCCCATTTTCTAAAATAGACCGAGTTGCTGCTTTTGGAAATCACCATACGTGGCCCCACGAGATGCCAAAGGGTTGCGCAAACATGTCATCCTCAGTTCCTCCTCAGCGAGCTTGCTGGCTTTCTTCGGGCGACCGCGTTGCTTCTGAATCTCCTGATTGTTTTTCTCTTGCTCTTCTGAGTTGTTGTCTTGCTTAAGGACCACCTGACAGACCCCAACATGCCACATCATGCCACGTATAGAATACGGCAGGCCCATTCCCTGATTTACATTGGAGCGCACGGGGGGTCTACATATACCAGGAGTATCACACAACGGCATCACAAACACAAGCAGCCACGTCACAATGGCGGGAAACCGCACGCCTGCTTGCGCTCGTCCCCTTGTTCTGGTCCTGGCTGTTGCTTGCTGACCTGGCAGGCTCTAGCCAATCTTCGTGGCAGACGCAAGAAGCCATCCCCTGATGGCTCAAGAACAGTTCGGGCTTGTTTCTGGAGATGGCTGGTCTTATGAGTGTAGAAAATGGCTCTGAATTTAGAAAGTGGGGGTCTCGACCTCCAGTAGGGCCTCACCCTGTCCGGCCCCTCTCCTTGCCCGAAAAGAGCCACAAATCAGCCCTTTATGAAAGGAACCGTGAACAGAAAGATCCGCCCCTGCAAATCTGAAAGCAAAAATTTGCTTTCGTCTTCGCTGGCTCCCTTCCAAATGGATGCACATTTTGCGGGGGCTCCGTTTCGGGAACGCGGAATTGCATCTGCCTTGCGGCGCAACTCTGCAGACATGGTCTCCAGTCTTTGAAGCTCTGTCTTCAAAAGGGTCTTGTCTTCAATGCGCCAGGCTGGCATCCAATGGTTCATAGCAATGGGATGCTGTCACTGCAGCACTCTCCATTTGCTTGTGTTCCAACAACGATCGGGCCGCTGTCCCTCGCGCATCTCCCACTCGACTTCTGGAGCGACTTCTTGGGCCCATTGATGGACATCAACCAGCTGCAGAGGTGAGGCTGTGTTGACAATGAGGGACAGGCCGAGCATGCGATCTGCAGCAAGGGTTAATTCCCAAAAATATTTGCCAGTGTTCGGTTGCAGGCAACGCGGCAACACACTGGCATGTTCAAGGCCGCATGTTGCCTGGGAACCGCATGATGAACTCTCTTTTCAAAAGCCGAGGGGGGGAAGAGAGTCCAAGTAAGGCCCAGCACCGAGTGTGTGGAGAAGCCATGCGAGACGCCAGCCAAACGCAGCAAGATGATGAAGGCAAACGCTAGACGAACGTCTTCTGACACCATGGCTTGGGCACAAGAAGCTACAGCAAAACAAGACAGCTCAGCACACTCACAAAGAACGCCACACACCCCACAGAAACAGGAAATAAAGAAGTTCTTGTCAAGCAAACTCGAAGAAGTGACGTAATCATTCCCCCCCCCCAACCCCCCCCCACCACACCCAAAAAGCAAGAAAGCACAAAAAACACGGAAAAAATGGAGAAAAAACACCAAAAATTGGAGTTCGTCCCACGGGCGTGTGGGCGGTGGTCCAACTACCTAAGGATGGTCCTTAGGCCCCTTTTGGGATGGTCCTTACAGCCAAGTGTCCACGGGTACCTTCCCCATTCTTTCCAGGGATCCTTCTTTCCAGACAAGGACTCAACCCCTAGAAAAACTACAAGGACCAACATGTCTGCATATCCCTCTATGGATCTGGGGGGGTGACCAAAAGAGCAGACACCCGGAAAGTGGAGGTTTTCATGGGGAATCCCACTTAACTGCTAAATTTTAGGTTTTTGCTCCCCTTCCAACGTCAACCAAGCCCTTCCCCCCGGATGGTCGTTACACGCAACTGGGGGTTTTCCCTTGGCAGGAGGACGAGGCCAGGCGAGCGGTGGAGGAGGCGGCCGAGGAGGAGCGGCGCCAGCTTGAGGAGGCGAATCGCTTGGAGCAGGCGGCGCAGGAAGCCGCGGCCTTTGCCCAGGACTCGCAAAAACTTTTGTTTAGTTATTTCTTCTTATTATTTTGCTGTTTATGAAACAACGAGCAACCATGAATGGCCCAAAGCCGACTTTTTGACCTTGTCTAGGTCCCCCAGCTAGGTGCCCTTTCTCCCCCCTTTTTTGGTTGGGAGGGTTCCCCTACTAAAATAGACTACAGGAAAAAGGGCGCCCTTATTCTAACCTCTCTACTGGAGGACCTAGCTTTTGTTGTTTTTAAGAAACAGGAAGCAACCATGAATGGCCCACAACCGACTTTTTGACCTTTTGGTTTTCTTTTTTGGTCCATTTTTGGTAGAGATCCCCAAAGGTTAACCTTGTATTTCCAGGTCCTTTGCGCAAGTGAGAAAAATGAATGGCCCATTTAAGTTCTGAACATTTGGGTAGCCTTTAAGAAAATGTGGTTTCCCTTTAGCTTCCCCAGGGCAAGCGAGGTTTCGGGGAGGGTTGAATCCTATAAAGTTTGTTTAAAGCTACGGAAGACTGCAAACAGACGCCCAAAAAAGGTGTCCTTACCCGGGAGGAGCGCCTAATTCCGGTGGGATCACAACAGTTTAATATCCCAAGTGCACAAGGGTACCCCTTTTAGGTTGGTTTCAAGGTAAACCAAAAGGACAATCTCCCATTCTAGGGATCACCGAGTTACACATGTGGTCTTCAAACAGGGGAGCCCCCCCCAAAAAAAAACGGCGGCTTTTCCTTGAGAAGAAATTCTGAAACAGGTGACCAAAAAAGACAACACCATACATACACATGTACCATCATTGTAGATATCAAGATTGATATGTGCAAAACTTATGTTGACACAATTGTGTTCATTGTTCCCTTTGCATATACAAAGGTATAATATATAATATGCATATACATATATAGTACTATGTATATGCGTTTGTATACATGAAATTATAGTGAGCTCGCCGATCCGGGGCTAAAGCATGCTCGGGGCCCATGACGAAGCTTTACTCGAGGGTTCCCGATCTCCAGTTTGCAAATGATTCTGGGGCACCCCACTCCCCCACTAACAATGCATTTGCGGGGTACCTGGCAGATCGATGTTCTCGGTGCCCCCCTACGGGATCGGCATCCCAGCATATTGAGCCGCCCAGGAAAAAAAGGAAAAAACACGCACTTATGCTGATGCAGGGGTGAAACCAATTTCAGAGGGAATCCTTCAATTCTAAAGGGAACCCCTATTAATCCATCATTTTGAGCCACATGCTTGATGGTGATTGCTCTTAACTTCTTTTTGTTGGTCAGCGGCGACCACGGATCCATGGCTCCCAATGAAGGTTCGCCAAAGGCTTAAACTCTCTCTCTCTCTCTCACCTCCAACCAGTTGTGAACACTTTTGCTGGATTCAGATCGGTTGAGCCACAGGCGGTGACCAAAAGTTTGCCCAAGGCAATGAATGTCCAGGCCATAGTATGTGTTTCGGGTAAAAGGGCAACGCAGGTGTCATTCTACACTACAAAGATCCTCTTGGGCAAAATTTGGACTGGCATGCATCTGATTTGCCAAGTGGCCCAGTGATGATTTCACTGGGCTTTTTCGGCACCTTCCCACATGTGATTGCAAGTTGCTTCCAGTTGCTTTAAGAATATGTTATGATTTCCACTGATAGTATTAAAGATAATCTATCACTACTGGGCATCTTTTTTTTCTCCAGGGGACTCAAGCAAATGGAGGATTGTTATCTGACTCTAATTTGCTTAAATGGTAGATTCCGCAATGGTATCTGCAATTGATCCGCCTCAGCAGAGGTTTACAGTAACTACACAGTTACTACACAGTTACTAAAGGGAGGGTTCCCATTAGCATCAAGCAACTTCGTCCTGACCATGCAGAGGAGAAGATGGAAGAAGAGCCGGAAGAATCGGAGAAAGCGCTCAACACCGCTTTTGTGATCTCGGATGAAGACTCGTCACCTATGCAAGGACCACCAAAGCTTGCAGAGGAAGAAGCTGTCAGACAGGCAAACGAAGAACGCGAAGCTGCAGAAGAGGCTGCGCGGCTTGAGGCCGAAGCAGCAGCCAGAGAGGCAGAGGCAGAAGCTGCCAGACACGCAGAGGAAGAGCGCAAGGCTGCAGAGGAGGCTGCACGACTTGAGGCAGAAGCAGCAGCCAGAGATGCAGAGGAAGAAGCTGCCAGACATGCGGAGGAAGAACGCAAGGCTGCAGAAGAGGCTGCACGGCTTGAGGCAGAAGCAGCAGCCAGAGAAGCAGAGGAAGAAGCTGCCAGACACGCAGAGGAAGAGCGCAAGGCTGCAGAAGAGGCTGCACGGCTTGAGGCAGAAGCAGCAGCCAGAGATGCAGAGGAAGAAGCTGCCAGACACGCGGAGGAAGAGCGCAAGGCTGCAGAGGAAGCTGCACGGCTTGAGGCAGAAGCCGCAGCCAGAGATGCAGAGGAAGAAGCTGCCAGACACGCAGAGGAAGAGCGCAACGCTGCAGAGGAAGCTGCGCGGCTTGAGGCAGAAGCCGCAGCCAGGGAGGCAGAGGAAGCAGCTGCCAGACGCGCAGAGGAAGAGCGCAAGGCTGCCGAGGAAGCGGAGAGGCTAGAAGCAGAAGAGGCAGACGAGTGCTCACCGCCCCAGTCTGACGAGTTGGTCTCGTGCGATTCTCCTTGGCATTGGTTTGAGGCTTACCCTGACTCCCTGAGTTCCTGGACGTTAAACTTTTTGGGAAAACCGTTTTGGTGAGAAATACAAAGTTCAGACTATATACTTTTGGCCCATCCACTCAGGAAGTGAGTATCTTGTTTGGCCTTTGATTTGAGCTAGTTTCTGCAGTCCCCCCAAAAGACAAACAAACAAAACAACAAAACACAAACAAACAGGTCACATGTCCAGCATCTTGAAGATGCAAATCACGTGTTTGGGCCAAACAACCTCACTTGCCCTTAGCTCGAATCGAGCTTTTGAGCTTGTGGTTTTCCCGGTTTGGTCGTGCTTGTTTCCCCTTAGCCATGGCAAAGGGTGATCACCTTTTATTCCTGGGTACCTGGGCAACTGCCGTACAGTACTCCACTCTGTGCCTCATGTTGGGCCCCTAAGCCGGTGGATTTGTCACCGGGTGCCTAGAATGCTTGGCTTCAGAAGTGGGTTTCCCTTTTCAGCCAACGGGGAAATTCCTCTAAGACAAGCCCACGTTGCCTTTTGGTTTGTGCAGAAGAAGAGGTTGGGGTGTCGAAAACCTCAGTAATCTCTTTAGCCTGCGACACATCCCTTCGTCTCCTCCACTTGTTTGTTTATCTCACTCCCTGAGTTCCTGAACTAGAAACTTTTTGGTAAAACATTTTTAGTGGTAAATGACAAGTTCGGACGTTTCCAAAAAAACACACTCATGAATCGAAAATGGTGAACTAGATATGAAACCAACGTTTTGTGTGTTTGTGTCCTCCTTCCCCGCAATTGGTACAGGAGTAACCTGGAGTTTCCATGTGCTACGCCAAGATGCTTGTTTTAGGAGGTGGGTGCCTTTCGAACCAACCATGCACGCAAAACATAAAATAAACAAATAAAACAAAGTGTCACTCGGTTCTTTGCATGGACATCCGCGAGTCGTATGGTGCTTTGCTAATTGGTGGTTTGCAGCCTGGTGGTTTGGTGGTGTTCTGGGGTGGTTTCCCACTGACCCTCTAGAACCACGGCTTCAAATCCAAATCACCGGGCTCCAATCCACCAATTAAGGGATACCTGATACTTGGGTGAGTCTGTTTTTTAGGGACGGTGACGGTTTTCACCATGTTTTCCCTCTACACCTGCTCAAAAAGGGACCAATTCCAACCTTTCAAATTGGTTTTTTATCTTTTCGAGTTGGGACCCCTTTCTTGGTCTGTTCACGGGAAAACAAAGGGAACACCCACCAATCTGGGGATCCCCTGACTCACTCCCTGAGTTTCTGGACTTTCCCTTCTTTGTAGACCATCTCACTTGCCCAAAGCCGACCTTTTGACCTTTTAGTTTTCCCATTTGGCCCATTTTTAGTCAAGGTCCCAAAAGGTTAAACTTTTATTTCCAGGTCCTTTGGGCAACTGAGCCATTTTAGTGGTAAACAAACAGTTTGGTGACTTTTTTGGGCCATCCACTCTGGAAGAGAGCAACAAAAGACACGCTCACACTCGCAGGTCAGTTTGCTTTGCCAGTTGTCCATGTTAAAATACACTTCGCAGGTCCAACTACCTAAGGATGGTCCTTAGACCCCTTCCAGGATGGTCCTTACACCCAACTCTAGGGGTTGATTCCCCATTCTTTTTAACCATCATTCTTTTCAAAGACCGGATCCGTTTCCCCTGGGTTTCCGGAGGTTTCCTGAAAAGATTCGCATCCCTGGAAAGAATGGTTGGAAGGTACCCCTAGACCAACTAATACACCTCTCAGGTCCAACTACCTAAGGATGGTCCTTAGACCCCTTTTGGGATGGTCCTTACAGCCAAGTGTCCACGGGTACCTTCCCCATTCTTTCCAGGGATCCTTCTTTCCAGAAAACCTCCGGAAACCCAGGGAAAACGGATCGGGTTTTTGGAAAGAACGATGGCTGAAAAGAATGGACAAGGACTCAACCCCTAGAAAAACTACAAGGACCAACATGTCTGCATATCCCTCTATGGATCTGGGGGGAGGTTTTCATGGGGAATCGCACTTAACTGCTAAATTTTAGGTTTTTGCTCCCCTTCCAACGTCAACCAAGCCCTTTTTTCCGGATGGTCCTTACACGCAACTGGGGGTTTTCACTTGGCAGGAGGACGAGGCCAGGCGAGCGGTGGAGGAGGCGGCGGAGGAGGAGCGGCGCCAGCTGGAGGAGGCGAATCGCTTGGAGCAGGCGGCGCATGAAGCCGCGGCCTTCGCCCAGGACTCGCAAAAGCTTTTGTTTAGTTATTTTTTCTTATTATTTTGTTGTTTTAAGAAACAACGAGCAACCATGAATGGCCCAAAGCCGACTTTTTGACCTTCTCTAGGTCCCCCAGCTAGGTGCCCTTTCTCTCCCCTTTTTTGGTTGGGATGGTTCCCCTACTAAAATAGACTACAGGAAAAAGGGTACCCTTATTCTAACCTCTCTACTGGAGGACCTAGCTTTTGTTGTTTTTAAGAAACAGGAAGCAACCATGAATGGCCCACAACCGACTTTTTGACCTTTTGGTTTTCCTTTTTGGCCCATTTTTGGTAGAGATCCCCAAAGGTTAACCTTGTATTTCCAGGTCCTTTGCGCAAGTGAGAAAAATGAATGGCCCATTTAAGTTCTGAACATTTGGGTAGCCTTTAAGAAAATGTGGTTTCCCTTTAGCTTCCCCAGGGCAAGCGAGGTTTCGGGGAGGGTTGAATCCTATAAAGTTTGTTTAAAGCTACGGAAGACTGCAAACAGACGCCCAAAAAAGGTGTCCTTACCCGAGAGGAGCGCCTAATTACGGTGGGATCACAACAGTTTAATATCCCAAGTGCACAAGGGTACCCCTTTTAGGTTGGTTTCAAGGTAAACCAAAAGGACAATCTCCCATTCTAGGGATCACCGAGTTACACATGTGGTCTTCAAACAGGGGAGCCCCCCCCAAAAAAAAACGGCGGCTTTTCCTTGAGAAGAAATTCTGAAACAGGTGACCAAAAAAGACAACACCATACATACACATGTACCATCATTGTAGATATCAAGATTGATATGTGCAAAACTTATGTTGACACAATTGTGTTCATTGTTCCCTTTGCATATACAAAGGGATAATATATCATATGCATATACATATAATACTATGTATATGCGTTTGTATACATGAAATTATAGTGAGCTCGCCGATCCGGGGCTAAAGCATGCTCGGGGCCCGTGACGAAGCTTTACTCGAGGGTTCCCGATCTCCAGTTTGGAAATGATTCTGGGGCACCCCATTCCCCCACTAACAATGCATTTGCGGGGTACCTGGCAGATCGATGTTCTCGGTGCCCCCCTACGGGATCGGCATCCCAGCATATTGAGCCGCCCAGGAAAAAAAGGAAAAACACGCACTTATGCTGATGCAGGGGTGAAACCCATTTCAGAGGGAATCCTTCAATTCTAAAGGGAACCCCTATTAATCCATCATTTTGAGCCACATGCTTGATGGTGATTGCTCTTAACTTCTTTTTGTTGGTCAGCGGCGACCACGGATCCATGGCTCCCAATGAAGGTTCGCCAAAGGCTTAAACTCTCTCTCTCTCTCACCTCCAACCAGTTGTGAACACTTTTGCTGGATTCAGATCGGTTGAGCCACAGGCGGGTGACCAAAAGTTTGCCCAAGGCAATGAATGTCCCAGCCATAGTATTTGTTTCGGGCAAAAAGGCAACGCAGGTGTCATTCTACACTACAAAGATCCTCTTGGGCAAAATTTGGACTGGCATGCATCTGATTTGCCGAGCGACCCAGTGATGATTTCACTGGGCTTTTTCGGCACCTTCCCACATGTGATTGCAAGTTGCTTCCAGTTGCTTTAAGAATAAATATGTTACGATTTCCACTCTTCTATATGTTTTTTTTCCAGGGGACTCAAGCAAATGGAGGATTGTTATCTGACTCCAATTTTGCTTAAATGGTAGATTCCGCAATGGTATCTGCAATTGATCCGCCTCAGCAGAGGTTTACAGTAGCTACACAGTTACTACACAGTTACTAAAGGGAGGGTTCCCATTAGCATCAAGCAACTTCGTCCTGACCAACTGACTGCAGGAGCAAGGGCATTTCGAGTCGGGGATGCTTGCAGAGGAGAAGATGGAAGAAGAGCCGGAAGAATCGGAGAAAGCGCTCAACACCGCTTTTGTGATCTCGGATGAAGACTCGTCACCTATGCAAGGACTACCAAAGCTTGCAGAGGAAGAAGCTGTCAGACAGGCAAAGGAAGAACGCGAAGCTGCAGAGGAGACTGCGCGGCTTGAGGCCGAAGCAGCAGCCAGGGAGGCAGAGGCAGAAGCTGCCAGACACGCAGAGGAAGAGCGCAAGGCTGCAGAGGAGGCTGCACGGCTTGAGGCAGAAACAGCAGCCAGAGATGCAGAGGAAGAGGCTGAGAGAAAGGCGGAGGAAGAGCGCAAGGCTGCAGAAGAGGCAGCGCGGCTTGAGGCAGAAGCAGCAGCCAGAGATGCAGAGGATGAAGCTGCCAGACACGCAGAGGAAGAGCGCAAGGCTGCAGAAGAGGCTGCACGGCTTGAGACAGAAGCAGCAGCCAGAGATGCAGAGGATGAAGCTGCCAGACACGCAGAGGAAGAGCGCAAAGCTGCAGAGGAAGCTGCGCGGCTTGAGGCAGAAGCCGCAGCCAGAGATGCAGAGGAAGAAGCTGCCAGACACGCAGAGGAAGAGCGCAAAGCTGCAGAGGAAGCTGCGCGGCTTGAGGCAGAAGCCGCAGCCAGGGAGGCAGAGGAAGAAGCTGCCAGACACGCAGAGGAAGAGCGCAAGGCTGCAGAGGAAGCTGCGCGGCTTGAGGCAGAAGCCGCAGCCAGGGAAGCAGAGGAAGCAGCTGCGAGACACGCAGAGGAAGAGCGCAAGGCTGCCGAGCAAGCTGCGCGGCTTGAGGCAGAAGCTGCAGCCAAGGCAGAGGCAGACGAGTGCTCACCGCCCCAGTCTGACGAGTTTTTCTCGTGCGATTCTCCTGAGGAAAGCGACTCTCCTGCGACGAAAGCCGGGGCGAAGTCGGTGACAAAGTTTCAGCAGGAATGTGAGGCAAAACGGGCAGAGGAAGCAGCACAGCAGGAGGAAGAACACTGCATGCCACCGCAGACGCATTTGGAAAAAGACTTCTCTTCAAAACCTGTGGAGCAACCAGAAGCGGTTGCCAGAAAAGCAGAGGAAGAGCGCACGGCTGCAGAGGAGGCCGCGAGGCGGGAAGCAGAAGCAGCAGCCAGAGAAGCAGAGGAAGAGGCTGCCAGAAAAGCAGAGGAAGAGCGCAAGGCTGCAGAGGTTGCCGCGAGGCGGGAAGCAGAAGCAGCCAGAAAGGCAGAGGAGGAGGCTGCCAGAAAAGCAGAGGAAGAGCGCAAGGCTGCAGAGGAAGCCGCTCGAGTGGAGGCAGAAGCATCAGCCAGGCAGGCAGAGGAAGAAGCTGCCAGAAAAGCAGAGGAAGAGCGCAAGGCTGCAGAGGAGGCCGCGAGGCGGGAAGCAGAAGCAGCAGCCAGAAAGGCAGAGGAGGAGGCTGCCAGAAAGGCAGAGGAAGAACGCAAGGCAGCAGAGGCGGCCGCGCGAGTGGAGGCAGAAGCATCAGCCAGGCAGGCAGAGGAAGAAGCTGCCAGAAAGGCAGAGGAAGAACGCAAGGCTGCAGAGGAGGCTGCGCGGCTGGAGGCAGAAGCAGCAGCCAGGGAGGCAGAGGAAGAGGCTGAGCGCAAGGCAGAGGAAGAACGCAAGGCAGCCGAAGAGGCAGCGCGGCTAGAGGCAGAAGCAGCAGCCAGGGAAGCAGAAGAAGAAGAAGCTGCCAGACACGCAGAGGAAGAACGCAAGGCGGCAGAAGAGGCTGCGCGGCTGGAGGCAGAAGCAGCGGCCAGAGAAGCAGAGGAAGAGGCTGAGAGAAAGGCAGAGGAAGAGCGCAAGGCTGCAGAAGAGGCAGCGCGGCTTGAGGCAGAAGCAGCAGCCAGTGAAGCAGAGGAAGAAGCTGCCAGACACGCAGAGGAAGAACGCAAGGCAGCAGAAGAGGCTGCGCGGCTAGAGGCAGAAGCAGCAGCCAGAAAAGCAGAGGAAGAGGCTGAGCGAAAGGCAGAGGAAGAGCGCAAGGCTGCAGAAGAGGCAGCGCGGCTTGAGGCAGCAGCAGCAGCCAGGGAAGCAGAAGAAGAGGCTGAGAGAAAGGCGGAGGAAGAGCGCAAGGCTGCAGAAGAGGCAGCGCGGCTTGAGGCAGAAGCAGCAGCCAGGGAAGCAGAAGAAGAGGCTGAGAGAAAGGTGGAGGAAGAGCGCAAGGCTGCAGAAGAGGCAGCGCGGCTTGAGGCAGAAGCAGCAGCCAGGGAAGCAGAGGAAGAAGCTGCCCGAAAGGCAGAGGAAGAACGCAAGGCAGCAGAGGAGGCTGCACGGCTTGAGGCAGAAGCAGCAGCCAGGGAAGAAGAGGAAGAAGCTGCCAGACACGCAGAGGAAGAGCGCAAGGCAGCAGAGGAGGCTGCACGGCTTGAGGCAGAAGCAGCAGCCAGGGAAGCAGAGGAAGAAGCTGCCAGACACGCAGAGGAAGAGCGCAAGGCTGCAGAAGAGGCTGCACGGCTTGAGGCAGAAGCAGCAGCCAGAAAAGCAGAGGAAGAGGCTGAGCGAAAGGCAGAGGAAGAACGCATGGCTGCAGAAGAGGCAGCGCTGCTGGAGGCAGAAGCCGCATCCAGAGAGGCAGAGGAAGAGGCTTCCAGAAAAGCGGAAGCAGAGCGCAAGGCTGCAGAAGAGGCAGCAGTCGGATACACTAGATGTTTGCCGTGAGTTAGGTCACTTCTATATCCGAGTTGCCAGCCTTTGCCCCATTTCCAGGTCCAATCTCATTGGTATTCACGGTCGGCCCTTTCTTTTGAGATGTTCCAGCCTGCTGTGGTCCCGATTCATGGGAGGTCATGAAGAATCCATGGCCGGGACTCCGTTGAGTGTGGCTTCCCTTTATGGCTCAGAATGAGTATCGACCGTGTAGGAATCTGGTTGCTTTGAAGGTGTGGCCGTCAACTCTGGAATGGGGATCGTTTTTTTGGTTTTTTTGTTGTTGTTGTTTCTTCTGCTTCCCCATATGAGTTGTTTTCAAGCAAGGTCCAAAACCGACCGAGGCTTGGCCAATTGTTCATGGACACTCAAATCATGTTTGAAGATTCCCATTCGCCAGGCCAATTCTCGACAACATTTGAGACATGGTTCTTCGTGGCTCCCAGCCATCCCCTTAGCTCTTGAGTGTTTAGTCGGGGTTTCCATGGAACCCACTAGAACTTTTTTTCTTGGTTGGCGGGGGATCTGAGGACGGCCCAGGTTTACCCCAGATTGATTGTGGTGGGAGCCATGGTCGCTTCAAGAGCTCCATTCCACCGTTCAGGGGCCCCTCAATGGTGGAATTCCAAGAGAAGGCTTTTCTCAATGGACCCGTTCGGCCCTATGAGTCGCATATGGCCCATGGTAAGTGGTTCCTGAGCCCCACCCAAAAAGGATACTCGCGGGCAACTGCAGTGCAGCTTGACAACATTTGCTCTCAATCCAAAAGCTCTTTGGCGCGCAAATGTAACTCCACAAGCCGGCATGTGTCTGACTCTCCACCTGAACCGGGCTTTTGTTCGTTCCTTTTCTCTGATTATGGTATACCATAGAATTCCCAACTTTGGGTTGGCATTTTTCCACTTTGTCCATCGGCCTGCCCAGGAACCCCCAGTGGATTTCTGCTTTCAAAATGGCTGGGTTCCTGCATCTGACAAACATATAGGTGTGGGATGGCCCCAGCCAGTTTGAAAAACACAGAGTATGGGAAAGTTGGATACGGCTGGAAGGAGTTGTATCTGGGTCATGCCATTTGGTGGTTGGGTCTGCCTTCAAACTGCCTTCAAACTGCATCGGCAAGCTTTTCAGAAACTGACTTTGGATCGAACTCCTCTCCTTTCCAACTAAAAGGTGTCCCCCCGGCCAGCAAACGCCATCAAGTGCACCTGGACCCTCAAACTACACATGAAAGACAACAGAATAATCACCCCATACTCTTGGGGCAAACACCCGTTCTTCATGATTTTTTTTTGGGGGGGTGACTCGAAATTTGTTCTGGGTTTTGAGGAAAAGGAACGCCTTCGATGCGTTTTCGGAGAGGCACGCTGCAAGCTTAGCCGCGTGCTGGAACTTTCCATCGTAGGGGCCGAAGCATATTCTAGCAGTTTACTCCTATCATGAGGAATTGTTTGGGTTAAAACATTGCAAAACAAAAGGCACCACACACACACACACGCATGCTACAGCTGGGTGAAAGTAGATGGCCCGTTTCCCCATGTTGGTTTATTCATCCCCCTTACTTGTCCACAGAAAGGGAATTATGTTTAGGCCCTTTCGTCAATTGAGGGGTGCGGGCGTTCGGGGCATCCAGAAAGGTCGAAAACCAGACAGAAGAATTCCCTTGACAGCGAGCTTTTGACCCTTGGTTCCCTGTTTTGCTCCATATGTGGTCCAGGTCCTAAGAGCTTAGCCTTATCATTTCTGGGTCCCGACTGAGAAACAACGAGAAAGACTTCATATTTCGATCTCCATGATGCTCAAAGGGGGCCTGTGCACGGTGCCCTTAGCCTCGTGGCTTGGAGCCTCGTGTTCCGGGGTTCCATTTGCCCAGGGCTTGGAATGCAAATCCGAACCAACCAAGGGGTTTTCTGACAGATTTTCCCAGGTCGCAACGGCTGAGTGAGATGATGCTTCAAGGGGTTCCCTTCCCGGGAATGCCACGGAACCCAGCCAAATCACCCAAGAAAAAATGTAGAGATCCTGGTCAAAAGCGGCGTTCAGCCGCAACATGAACCATGGTAACCATGTCTTGGCAGCTTGCTCCCAAGTCGTCAAGTGTTTCCCCTGCTTGAAGTCCCTTCAGTCTCCCGAAAGGAGCTCCAAGTCTTGCTCCACCAGGGTGATTGCTGAGAATTGTGGCCCGGCATCCCCGAGCATCCCCGAGCATCCCCCTAAGAAACAAGTCGAACGGCTCACTGGCAACTGGGGTCACCGATGGACAGGAAAAGGCCAAGAAGAAGCTGCTTGAGGCGGGGTGTGACATCTGCATGCTCAGATGGTTCAGTAGATCGCTATTGGATTGGATCTTTAGACTTCAACTTTTTTGGGAAATCAATGGCTTTTCATTGAACCCACAAAAAGTTAAACCGTTTGCAGAGGGCTCAACAGCAACCAAGGTATGGGGTTAACGTTTGAGGCTGCCCTTTGTTGCAGGGTCGCCACAGCCAGGAGGGCCACAGCAACCTATTAGTTACCTGTGTTTGTCACTGGCTGCAGTAGGCATGAAGGGTGAACAGCCACAATGTCCCCATGCCTGCCCTTGCGATGGTGTTTCGACACACAATGGCTTGGAAGTTCCGAGTGTCCCCTTTGTGGGGGAAGTTGCTAGGCAAGCTTTGGAGCGAAGGCGTGTGGTTAAATCTTTAAGCTGTACAGGGCTCCGAAAAAGATACATTTTGCAACCATTTGAACCATGTTGCTTTTTCAACGCCAACATAAAGTTGGAAACCGCAATTAAGGCAATGTTCAGGTGTAGTAACTTTTCAGGAAGATGTGAGAGTACCTTCTCACCAACCGCGCAGGTGTTTTTTGCACCGGGGGCCGGGGCAGCAGCCACTTAGTTTGAGCTTTGATGTAGCCTTGGTCTACTGCTGAGAGCTGCTCAAAGCTAAACCCAACACCGTGGGGAAAAATCCCTTGATCCTACAACCCTGTTACCGTCTAATTTGAGATTATGGATTGGGAGTAACGACCAGCTTGTCTTTTCACACAGCATTGCATTTGAATTATATTTCAGTTATTCAGGAATGAAAACAAAGATGCTAATAAAACTTGCAGCTCCTGTACATGTGTGCGTATGATAGCTTGTAATGTACTATTTGAGCAAGGTTGCGCACAATAATGACAGCAGCAGGCAGCCAACTACTCTATAATAGCGCTGGATTCTGCTTGAATTGCAAGCATTAGCCAGATTTCACTGTTTCTCAAAAACTCTGGCCCGACAGCGTTCAGCTCTTCTTTTCTGGGGGGGACCGGGGGGGGGGTCCCCTAGAAACAGACACACCCATGTATCCTCAATAAGGGGTATTCCATATTAGCCTTCCAAAGTGGGCTGACGCTCCACAGGGACCCCCCGATCAAAATCAACAAGGAGTTCTTTCCCATAAACGACGCTTTGGATGTTTTGTGGATTTGTCATTTCACCTTGGGGATGCACAGCTGTTTTACTGATTGCCTCGTCGCGATTGGCTTTCCTATCCACGATTTTTTGTGGAGAAAAACAAGCATGCATTGCTGCGGCCTTGTGCCATTCTCATTTGCCAACTTGTTGCACTTGATAGTTTTTGTTGGAAGTAGGGCGCTGGTGAAGTAGAAGTGTAGACCTTCAAAGTGAGCATCATGTGCAGCTTCTCAGCCATACAACTTCCCATGAAACCAGAATGGGTGGGTTACACAGGAATATGGCCCCCTTCCATCTTCAGTCCTCAGGTTCCCCATTTGGGGGCAACCCGATTATTATTTGTTTCCCGCGAAGCGGGTTTTTTTTTCGGCGGTCGGGCCTGAAGGAATCCCATGTTTGATGGATCCTTGTGGGACTCGAGACTGTGCTTCCACGTGTCGGCCGCTGGTCGATGATGTTTTTTTTTTAACGGTTGCGGCACGGCCCTTCCAGTCTTGCCGGCACGGATGTGAAATGGGGTCTCAGGGATCCTGGAAAGCATCAGAAACCCGGGGAAATCAGGTTGTTGAACAGAACGATGGCTAGAAAGAATGGGCCTGGATTGCCAGTTGCGATCGCTTTTTTCCATCCACTTTACCCCGAACACCAGCAACAATGACTGAACAAAGCAGCAACTTGGCTATCTAGGGGCAATCAATCCCAAGAATTGTCGGGTGCTGACTGTTGCACTGGAGATGGTCAAGGTCAAGCGCCATGCCCTCCGTCGCAACAAAATCTGGGGGGGAGGGGGGGGGCAGGGCAAGCATTGGCTTGCAATATTCGGGAGGCCATTCGTAACTCTCGACTACTTGACAGTTCTTCGCGTATGTATATATATATGTGTGTATGTTCCTCACATTTGCTTTCATACTCCCTCGCAACGAGTCCCCTTCAAAAGGAATCCTCAGCCAGGTTCCATGTGGTGGGAGGCTGGCTCTTAATTCACCGCCAAAAAACCGACTTTTGAGCTGAGAACTTAGGCCAAGCCGCCATCACCCAGCATGCAAATATCTTCCGCACTCAAGGCCCCGGTCGGACGAATTGTTCTTTGGCTGGCGAGGTTCCTCGGCCGGGCACCGCTTGAGCGATCTTGAGCTGACTCCAAGTCTTGAATCACAGGCCCTTCCAACATGGAAGCTGGTAGGAGGGCTTTCGAAGACTGTAACGGCCAGTTCACTTCCAGGACAGGACAAGCTCACTTGCCCAAATCGACCTGATCTGACCTTTGGGCTTCTCTTGGCAACCATATTTCGTCGTCCCAAAACAAGTGATCACCTGTTCATTTCTGGGTCCAAACTCCGGGCGACTCAAAGGTCCAACGGTTCGCCTGATGAATGGGATTTGCATATGGGGCTTGGGTTTCCCCTTTTGCATGGACCCATTTCAACAAGCTGGGCCCCTGCGCGGTTCATTTTGTCCATCCTTACTTGTTGCTTGAAGGCGTGCCCTTGGCTTAGGGGGTATGGATTCGGATCCCAAACTCTCCACTTCCGGCTTTGTCGGACCATAGCTTTTGGGTTAGGAACCACGGCGCGGAACCTCTGAGAAGGGGCTATGCCAAATGTTGCCTCCCTGAAATGCTCGCTTCCTGAGTTCCTGGACTCTATACTTTCTGGGTTTGGACGATTTTAGTGGCAATTAAAAAGTTTGGACTATTTTTGGGCCATCCACTCGGGAAGTGAGAAGAATAGTTTTGCCTCCCGCTTATGTTGCCTTCGAGGGTCATGCACAAGTTACAGCGAATAAAAGCCCTTTACGACTCAGATGTCCGGAGAGCAAATGTTGTGATGGAGTGCGCCGAAGTGGGGTCCGTTGCTGTGGTGGTGAACTGCCCAAAAACGGAGCCGGCAAGTTTGGCAAATTTGACGCATGATGATGTCATTGCTGCAGTCTAGGGACAACACTCTACACCAGTTGCAGCAAACAACCTATGAGTACTGGGATGAATCACCTACCAACTGGTGCAGGATGTTGTCCTTATACAGTTGCAAGCCGAAGCAGCAGGCTAAACATGCTGAGTAGTGGGGAGCTAAAGGGGGGGGGCGTAGATTCTTTTAGTTTCTTGGGTAAAACCCGTCGTTCATATAGAATTCGCGGGAAACTCATGGCCCCGATATCCAAGTGCTGAGGTAGCCTCCGTGCATTTGAAACATATATGCCGGCTGCGCATGCAACCTGCATGACGGCCGCTGATGTTACATCCAACCCTGAGCCCAACTGATATGATGGCATCAGTCAGAGGTGACCCCAACTCACACATGCAATCATTCACGGGTGCATTTATTAGCGTCTTGGAAGAGCTGGGCAAACACATTTTGGTTTTGCTGTTCCTCGAGCTTATCCGGGAAAGCCTGATCCCAATGCCTCCAAACTTTGGGCCGTATTGCATAAGCTCCGGAGATAAAACACACGTACCCGCGATGAAGACGTCTTTTGTGGTTGGATGGCTTGCCTGGAACTTGCGCAGATTTCTGTTTTCGTTCCTCAGTCCGGCAAAGCTGTTGGCTAAGCCTCGCGCCAGTCCCTGGTGCCACTGGTCAAGCCCAAGGCTGCGGTGGAACTGGAGGCGACCTCGGGACCTCGGCTCGAGCAAAGCGGGGCGGGCCGAAAGTTTTGCTTTTCACGTGAAGAAGTTTGTACCAGCTAGGATGGGATTCTTGAAAGCAGAGCTTGAAGTGATGATCATAAGATAATGTTTGGTACTTAGCCTCTCATTTTTTGCCACTTGGAGTTTGTGTTCTATTCACGCTGGGCACACTTGAAGCCAGTTCCATGGATTCTGGGCCAATTTATGTCCCTAGTTGTTTGGTATTGTTTGGTGATGGGTCATCAACCGAGCACAACCCTTGTTGCTAGTTGCCAAGGCTGGGCAATTGAAGTGAATGTATGGAGGTGTGGCTTAAGCCCACGTTTTCCCGGGTGCGAGTGAGACAATCCCGTTCAGCGCGGGGCGTGGCCGTATTAAAATTACTACTCTACCAAAAAAAACCAGACCCCGTAGCTGCCGGAATCCAGGCATCTGGCCTGGGGTACGGGTACGGTTCAAACAAGGTATTCGTTATTTGGGGGAGACGCTTGTACAGCTATTCACTTGAGACATGCTGCAAGGCTCATTGGGTCTTGGATTTTGCACCACTGGCCATCCCAGACGGCCCAATGGCGATTCCATAATTCAGCCGCCAACATACCAGGGGGTCACACATGTGTCTTTTCGGGGGCCCTTCTGAAGACTGTTTGAAAAGGGAAAACCAGAGGACCCCCCCCCCCCCCCGCTCCACTTGGTTGTTCCTTCCACCTTCAACCTTTGCTGCATGCAACTTGTCGGCAGCCGGAATGAGCTAAACACGAGGGTCGAAAGTTGGCCAACACGTTTCTCTAATGCCGGGCTCACATTTCCCGACTCACCGAGTCAGAGGAATGAAACACTACATTTTCGCCTTGGAATCGTATGGGTCTGTTATTTGCTTGTTGGATATTTCACTTTTCCGGTTATTCCCAGATTTGACTTATTTGTTTTCCCTTCTCCATCTTCGCCTTAGCTTTTTGCAGGGTGTCGAAGTCTGGCCAAGTTTGAAAAGGGTTGCCAAACTTATGTTGACGCCGGATTCACAAACCCTGGTTGATTAAGAGGGGTGTCTCTTTATCACTTTTGGAGGGCAACGCCCCCTATTAATAGAGCCGCTCTTTTAGTCTGGTGTCAAATTTAGATCGAGAAGTTGAATCGAGAAGCTGTTTGCTTCTGGCCCACGCCCCCAGACGCCACTGAGCAACTGTCAGGGCGCGACGGTTTGGAAGCGCAACCAGGATGCCCCACGGCAGCGAACAAAGCGCTCCGGAGAGTTTGGTGGAGAAACCGGCAGGGGATCAACCGTTGTGGGGCCCGGTTGGATCTGCATTTTGGGTTACGCTGATTGCATATAGAAACCCAAGGGACAGGAATCATGTTGGGTCAACAATGTTGAACCAAGCCTAATCGCTAGTGGCCTTTGCGCCCATTTCGGAGGAATACATCCTCCTGAAGCACACGTTTTGCGGTTGTGTTTCACTTTAAAAGTCTGTTGTAAATCTGTTGTTTTGCAAAAATAAAATACAGCAATTGAGCAGTTTGAATTGCCCGGCTTGTGGCTTGTCGCTTTTTGCCCCACTGCCGAGTTGACAATAAACGGTTCGGGACCCAAGTAGGATCCATTGCGTTGCTCCGTTGTTAGGAGCGAATCGACCTTTGGATGCCCCTTGCACGGCGGTTCAGTGTCACTTGTGCTCTTTGATTGGTAGGTGCCTTCTTCTCATGGGCCCTCCAGGGTCGCTGGAGGGGTCAAGAGTGGTTTCGCCCTCTTCTGGACTCCCAGGATGCGCCGCCCCGTCCCTCGCCTTTTTGGGGAGAATGTCAGAAGCCTAGGTGTCCTTTTTAGGTTATTTTGGTTAGAAATAGATGGCACTGGTTTAGGTTTGCCATTGACCAGGGCTATCTATCTTCCTAAAAAGCACACCTATGGTCAGAAACGGATTTGTTCGAGCAACCCTGCTGGGACTCGGAGTTGGCACTGCCCAAAGAGGCGCCCTTTGGCGCGTCTGGCCGGCCCAGGGCTGTCAATTGTGGGAGTTCACCCTGGAGAAGAGGCCATCTCTCTTGCTCCTTCCATTTGCTTTTATGTTTAGCCTCGCCTGGCTTCACAGGGAATCTATCACACGACACTTTTTTTTAATCCAGGAGGCGCAAAAGCCAAATCGAGGACTCGGAGCCCTGCAACAAGGCCAGAATGACGCAACTCATTCCCCCCCCAAAAAAAGAACAACAACAACAGCGGATTTCGAGGATGTATTTCGCAGGTGGGTTCGGATGAATTTACTCGCTTGAATGGGCCTTGAACAGACATCCAAACGTGCAAACGTTTGCCACACCATTGGTCCAAAGCCAAAAAGTTTAGAGTCAGCAGCCCAGGAACTCAAGTGAGGCAACAAACCCTGGTTCTCGTGCATCCGGAAAGTGTAGCTGGGCACAGACTTATCTTTTGGGAAGGGGCACCTTTGTTCCCTTTGTTTGTTTGGCTGTTTTTTTTCCGGAAAAAGTGGCCAACTCCAAAACATGATGTTCTCCGGACGTTCTCTTTTACTGGAGAGGTGATTCGGGCTTAAGACGATAGAGCTTGTGGCACAGGCTTTGCTTTGGGTATGGATAAGCTAACGGGGTATGTACTGCCTTAGCTTATGTGGCATGGCATCCATAGCTCCAAATTCCCAACTACCTGAACCATTGCTGGTACATGAGTATTTTGTTTCTGCCTGCAAGGTGGAAGGGGAAACGGCTTTGCGACATCAAGGGGCTCCCTTTGCGACTAGCCACATAAATGGCCAGCTTTGGCAGCACAAAGTGACGAACCAATGCAGTTGGGTGAAAGAAGGTGGCACAATTCCCTCATTTAGGTTTTGCCCCCTTTACCTACCCACATACAGAGAATTGTGTGCTTTTACCCTGTACTTGAAAACCTTCTCTCAAGATAATCTGGCTGGTTTTGCGGGCGAGCAAACGAACAGGGTATAACCATTTACCCACTGGCCGACGAGCAAAAGAGCAAAATGGAGGGTTCCAATCACCAGCCAGTAATGAGAAGATAATGTGTGGTCTTCGGCTTTCCAGGCCGCACTTTGGGCGCTTGCTTGGCTAGTCGTTCCGTGGTTGCCGGGTCGAGGGTGGCGGATGCCCGCTGAACACATTTCCGGATATGTCGGGGCGCCCGATAGGAGCTAGGCTTGTTCAAAAGGGGCACAGCCTGTATTTGCGACTTTGCGCTTTCGCTTTTTGCTGAATTCAGCATATGAGGTTTGGTCAAGGGCAGCTACATGGGGGAGCTCACTAATTAAATGTCCATCCAACAAACAAACAGTGAAACCAGCAAGCCACTGTCCAGTACAGGGACATGGGAACTCACTAAACTCCCAACCAAAACAAACAAACAACAAAGCCAACCACCAGCCAACAAGAACCGAGGCCTTACGAAATATTCATGTCCTCTTGGGGCAACAAGTCATTTTGACCGTATTCTTGTCGCCTGTGGCCAGGTCGGAGATGGAGAAGTTCGGGTTTTCCCACAGCAGCGGGAAGTCGGAATATCTGAAGGCCGAACCGGACAAGATTGCGGGGAACGCACATCCATCTCCTTTTTCATTTCTTTTCGGAAAATGGGAGGCTCGGTCTGCTAGCTGCCCTGAAACTTCAAGGGGGATAATTACAGACGAGAAGCAAAAGCGTTCCTTTGAACATAGTGGGAACACCCGTCCAAGGTGGTTTCCCACCGTTGGGCCACGTTTCAACCTGTTGGCTTGCCCCGTGGGCTATCCTCTTTCCTGCTCCCAAAACCTCTCATGGAGGAAAGTGTCGGTTTGGTCGGGTTCAGATTTCAAAAAATCCCATGTAGACCAGTCGGTTTATGTCGTTTTCCTTGCTTGCGGAGCCAAAGGTTTCGGTGGGAAATCCGCGATCGGCGCCGCGCCGGCCTGCCAGTCCATCGGCATCTCGGAGAACTCCCCGGAGATTGAGGGCCCCCAGGCGCGAAAAAGTGCTTCGGGAACCGGACGCTCCAAAATGGGCGGATCAACCTGGACCCCCCAAAAAAAAATCCGGATTTCTGCCTTTGCACCCTTGTTTTATGGGTCAAGGGCAGGAAAAAGGGGTCTTTGAAGATTGTCCCATATACATCTCAGTTGTTCTCAGTTGTTCAGTGGCACCAAGTCTTTTTCCCTTGTCCCTTTTTTTCCAGGGTCACTGAACAACTGAGAGATCGCCAGTTGCGATCGCTTTTTGTCCATCCACTTTACCATCCAAAAACCAGGAACAGCGACTGAAAAAAAGCGATCGCAACTTGGCTATCTAGGCATAGAAATGGGATGACCAAAAAAAAACACCAACGAAGATGAAACCTTTTAATGGAAATAGTGACCCAGGCGATTGAAAGGAAGTTCCCACTTTGGAAGCCTTGGTCCCCTTTCTGGAGGCAAGGCCAGGAGCTTCCGGGTGATGGGAGTGTCTTTGGTTGCTTTGGACGAAAAAACTGTTTGGGAAGGCCGGAGAAAACAGTCTCTCTGTTTTTTGCAGAGGGGTCAGTAACCAAGATTGTGCGGGTCAAAGGTAGAACCCAGCTTATTAACAGGGGGTTGGGGGGCCCCTCCAAAAGTGATTCCCCACTAAAAGGGGGGCACTACTAGTCAACCAGGGTTGAATCCAGGTGTACACCCTAATTTCACTTTCGGATTAATGCGGAGGACCCTGCTAGGAAACTCATAAACTTCCTGACACGAAAAGGGGAACCCACATCTGATGCGGTTCATCGGATTTCCGAAGATGCAAATCCCAACTTGCTTGCCAGCAAGCTTGGCACCATTTGGCACCTAGAACTAACCTGCATACACAAACTCCGCTTCCCCAAAGGCTGCAAAAAGGCTTGTGGGTTAGGATCTGGTTGGGAAACTAGAGGGGCAGATTGAGCGGGTTTGCATCCCATGAAAGAAGTCAAGAGCCAAATGAGCCACAATCAAAACCCGGGTAGATCAAGGTTAGCAAGGGACAATCCCAGCCATAAATAGCCACAGCCGCCTTTCTAGTTCGTTACATGGTTCTGGGTTCACCATTTTTACCCAAGGTTTTGATTGTGACTCAAATGAGTCTAGGTAGGTGAAATGGTTGCCTACAGTTGAACGCAATTGCAGCGAAACTTTCGACGGTGAAACACCTGCATATGTGTGAGCATCGGGAGACCCACGATTATGCTGATGTTCATTTGGGTTTCCCTTGACACCACTTCAGTTTGTTTGTTTTGTTCACCAGTGGCGCCCATTATGCCATTTGTTCTCTGAGGGGGGCTTGGCCCAGCGGGCGTTGGTGGCATGTAGATCCGCCACGGTAGTTGATTTTTACCTGCCCCTTTGATAAATTAAAGGGAATCCCCAAAACCGGCTCATTCCCAAGACCCGCAACGGTCATTCCCTGAGCGCCGGTTCTCGCCGCCTTCAAATGTCAAAAACGAGGTGCTGTTCATTCGCAAGATTGGTATCGATGGCTTACTCTACGCGTGGAATGAGGCGAGCTTCGGGCTTGGGGAGTTGTGACGCGCCGCCAGGTTGCCAGGTGTACTCCCCTACAAATAACATAGAACCCACACACACACACACACCCATTTCCAGAGGAAACTCCTTTTCAGGAAGTATCTTTATGGGCAACCCACGTCAATTTGCAGAGTAATTATCCACTTCACTGTTTGTTGGAGTTGGGTTTTGTGTTTCTGTTTTCTTGTCCTGCTCTCTTCTAGTGGGCTGCAAACCAATGCGTTGCCATACCAAGCTTCAAGCTGCTCATGCAGCAGGCTGACACTCAGACTAAAGCTGGTTCTTCCCATCTGCACCGAGGCGACTATTTTTGCCCACCGGCATCAACCCGTATTCGATTCAACGAGCCATGAACCTGCGGTTTTTTGTTCTGTTGAGGGCACCCTTTGTGGGATTGGTTTGAAGGGAAAAGTAGAGATAAAGCTACAAATTGTTTGGGCCCTCATTTAGACCAACCCATATGTGCCTCACATTCTGCCGCCTGGAGCAATTGTTTGCATTGTAGACTCCGGGGCCCAAGTATTTGCCGTTGTTCCTCGCAAATGGCAACCGGATTGATGCTGGCGCCTGATTGAATTGGGGCTGTCTCATTCACAAGGTGATTCGGATCAATGAGGACGTGTCGACCCTTAACACCAGGTGTTTTTCATCCCGGGACAATTAAAAATAGGCTTCGGCCAAGGACAACACAAAAACCTCCGATGCAAACCTAAGCAAGCTTTCGCAACAAACGGAACAATACCCCAGTTTTACTTGCTCAATGAATTGACATGTGTTTTGGTCGGTGGGATGCCTATTAAACAAATGTTGGCGAAGGGCCTTCCCCGTTTTATATTGTGTTGTTTGTGCGTATGATCTTTTGCTGGTCAGTGGGTCCAAATGAAATATTGTCGCCAGCATCAAGCCCCTTGTGTGCTTGGAGGTCAGAAAAGGTTGCTTTTATCTGGGAAAACGCAGCGCCCATAAGCGGGGTTCCGGAGTTTTCTCTGAACATAGAGGGCCGGCTTCATGGTAGTCTGGGCGGTAGTGTTCCTTGCACCGAAACGAAACCTTACTAAAGCCCTTGAGGGTTTTACAACAGAAGCAAAATTTGTTTCGGTTTCCATGAGATTTCCCTTGAGTTCTTCCTACCCAGTGATTCCACTTGCCTGAATCGGGTACCAAGGGAACCCGCCTTCAAAAACCAAAGGGAAAATGGCGAAGGCTTACCTAGGGTAAGTGGGATCCACTGGACGACATGACAGAAGAGTGTGGCCGTTTTTTAGGGGACCCTGCAAAATGGTGGTTTTCCTTCTGAGTGGCTTCCCGCTGAAGCAACCCCCGGTGGTTGCCCTTGGTTTCCTTTATCGCCTTGGAAGAGAACTGTCCTTGCTCATGGATTGAGGGAAACCCAAAAGTCCCCTCAACGGAAACCACCTGTTGGATGTTTTTTTCTCCTCGATAGTTCCAATTCCTATCGCGTGAGTCTCTCTTAACCCCATGTAGTGTTCCAACCTGAAGCTCCCCACATCGGTATGGCCCGAATTGTTTAACCACCTGACCTGGTTTGGGTTCATATGTCCACTTGCCAGGACAACCCATTTGAGGTACTCCATCCCCATCTTCGGGGTGTCGTTGGGAAACATGTTGCATTGCGTATTTTGGCTTAGTGGTTGAAAAGTCCATCTACTGAACTGCTAAAAAAATAGAAATACACCTCTTCATGATTGTCGTTGGGAAACATTAGAAACATGTTTGCTTCTTGTGGCTTAATTTTTCGAAATCCAACCGCTTAACTGCTAAAATTTTAGAATTGCTCCCCGAACCCCACGCCAACCCTCGGCTTGGACCCCTGGGCTTAGACCCCTCGGCTTAGGCGCACCCGGACGCCCTGGTGCAGCCGGGCCCGGGGCTCAGAAGCGAGCGCTCGACGCTTCGCCGGCGCCAGAGCCCCAAAAACATGCCCAGTACATGCATGTATATGTATAGATATATGTATATATATATATATTTATTTATAGTTATATGTATGTGTCTATTATTATTATCGTGATTTTGAGGGGGAGGGCTTTTTTTTTATCTTCTTCTTTTCTTTCTGTGTTTGTTGTTTCCTTTTGGGGGCTGGGTTTCTTTTTTTTTTTTGGGGGGGGGTATGTGTTGTTTGTGTTCTGATTTTTTGTTGGGGGGGGTATGTGTTTTTGTGTTTTGGGCAGGGGGGGGCTGACATACTTTTATATGCACTTCAATCCAGTGTGGCACACGTGTTATGCGGCGGGAGTAATAGCTCAGTCGCTTGGAGTAACGGCAGGATGGATCGCAAGCGGAATGCAGTACCCACTTACCGGATCGCAAACAAGAACAACATGGCCCGGTGTCCAAAGACCAGCCAGAAATACTTTTCGGTATTTACCATCGCCAGTTTTCCTTTGTGCTTCATGCGTCTCCTTTCAACCAACAAAAGTCACACCTGCAAGGGATGCAAGCATGGCCCAGTAAATACCAAATACCCTACAAGGGGACCCTTCCCAGATAAAAGGGATCTTTTTCAAACATGGATGGGTCTTGGTGGGTTCCAAAGTTGATGTGCAGAACCGTCACTCACTCAAAGGCCTGTTTAGGAAGCCCACATGTTTGCGAGGTTGATTTTAACTTTTTGCGGTTCCTTCTAGAATAAGCTGCTAGACTTAGAGACCTTGGCCCTCTAGATTTGGCTTTAAATCAAAGGACAACTAAAGGAACCATGATTAATTGGGGGGATGCAGGGATCCCCTATTTTAAGACACACCCAAATGGTTGCAGGACAATCCCCTCAGCTTAGCCAGAGGAAACAGAGGAACAAGCGTGTCAATTCCACTTGCCAGTTGGCATATCTTTACGGCTCTTGGTATGTCGATATGGGCTTCTCTGAATAGGGGGAAGCGCCCAAACCTGTGTCTTTTGTTTGGTGTCCATTCCGAAGGAGCCCAAAAAGGTTCCCTCAAGAGTGTCATTTGTTGTTTGTGTGGGTTTCTGCTCATGTAAGCAAAATACGCCGGCTGCCCGGCGGGTAGGCATGTGGGCTGCGATCTGATCCCACTTGTTGAGGCGCAAAGAGACTTGTTTGGGTAGGACCTGTAGACTTCACTTGATGCTACTCCCGTGCACTTTAACATAGAACACAAACACTTCGCATTTGTTTAGCATATATATATATATATTCAAGGGGATTTCTTGCTCGGGTTCCACGTTAGTTTTGTAGGTGACTAACTTGTTGTAATATGATGACTTGCCCCGCTAAACTACGCAAAGTTTATCCTGTTTGTTTGATATTTGATTTTGCAGCCGCAGTGCGCGAGCCATCAGGCGAAGATTGAGCCAGGTATGAAGTGGCGGGCTGTTTGTTGTTTCTTTTTTCATGGAGTCGCCTAAGGTAGTGAACCGCCCCCTTCATAAGTAGATTTACAGGCGTCGTTTGCGTACAGCATCAACTCAAGTGGCTCCCTGATCTTTGCCAGACACCTGGGATTCTCATGTGTACAGGCAAAGACATACCTAAACACACAAAAAGCTCATGCATACATGCAACATACATACATACATACCATACCATACCATACCATACCATACCATACCATACCATACCATACCATACCATACCATACCATGCAGCATATACATTACGTTACATTGTGTTTCATTATGATGCATTACATGACAGACCCACACACATGCACACACACACACACACCGACATACCTACCTACCTACCTACCTACCTACCTACCTACCTACAAACCTACCTACCTACCTACCTACCTACAAACCTACCAAACCTACCAAACCTACCAAATCTACCAAACCTACCTACCTACCTACCTACCTGCCCACCTGCCTACCCACCTACCTACCCCCACGTGCCCACTTACCTACATACCTACCTGCATACATTACATTGGATATGCATTATGTTGCAGTACATTACGTAGCTTTACGCTACCATACATGACATTCCATTTTGTTACATGACATTACGGTACCATGCAGTGCATCACGTTCCGCTACCATACATTACAAAACATTGTGTTGCATTACGTTACACTAGCTCACGCTACACTACATTACAATCATTACATTGCACTACATCAGGTTGCATTACATTGCATTGCATTGCGGCACGATACATTGCACACATTACACAATACATTGCATCACGTCAACACAAAGCAACTTAAAAAGATCATATTATAACATTGCATTGTATTGCATTGCATTGCATACCATTGCATTAGTTACATTGCATTACATCAAACAGTTTTTTCCATATATATATACATATTTATATAAATATAAATATATACAAATGTTGTTTTGAGGGTACGCTGTTCACCTTCGAAAAGGCACCCACTTTTGGGCATCCCCGGTTTAGGCACATGCAGGATCTTCGCGGTCGCAGGTGACCGCATCTGCATGGTCAATGACAAGTCCACCATGGAAGATATGGCGCAGGAGTCCCCGAGAGAACCAGTGCGCCCGCCTTTCACGCGACCCCGCCAAAAAAAGATCGTCCAATTCTGTTACAGAGGGTCTGCCTCAGGCTGACTGAGCTGGCATTTTTGGCTTACTGAGCTGGCTTTTTGGCAAAAACAAAAACGGAAAAAAAATCGGCGAAATCGCCACAGGAGCTGCGCCAGCCATGGGCCTCAGAGTCGTTGCGTCGAGAGGGACACTGAGAGAGTAAGTCTGATTCGACCTTCTGGTATTCCCTGTTTGGTCCATTCAGAACCCAAAAGGTGAACCTTTTAGTTCCGGGTCGAATGAGAGAATACTATACACGATGAATTTTAATATATAGTTTTTGTGTTTGGACACTTTCTTTAGCCGGTCCGCTCAAAAAGTGAGAAAGACAGCGTGTGACTTGCATGCGGGAAAATTGGAAGAGCTTGCCAGTACGCGTTGCCACGCGCGCATTGTGCACATGCGCGACCTTGCCATTCATTGTTTGGTTGGGGGGGGGGGGGGCAGGGCGCGCCAAAAATCAGCGTGAGTCTGGCAGGGACAAGGTGCTGCTGAAGGTGGTTCGGTATCCAGAAGAGCCAACGCCTCAGATTCGCAAGAACGTGTTTTGCGACCGTGAAATGGGGGGCAGGTTCCCAGGTGTCCATTTCAAATTTCACCAACAAACATAACCGAACAAATAAACACTCCCAAGTGGCAAATGGGTTTTTGAAAGACGCGCCATTTTGTTTTTCATGCCCTGGCCGTTGAAAGATTCTGTCTGGTATTAGTTTACCCTGTTGCCTGTACTTTGCTGTCCCGTTGCCAAGGTTCGATGTGTCGCTTTCCAAGAAAGCGAGCAACAAACTTGGTTTCAAGCTGGTGCCTCAGCTGGGCGACGGGCTGCGAAGTAGATTGCGCCTGCATGCGGAAACTAGGGTTGTGAGCAGCCATCACCTTTTCAATCCGAAGGTGGTTTGACATATCCAACCGTTGTGCGGGCAGTGTTTGTGTTTGTGTTTTTGTTTTGCGATTGTGTGTGTGTTGTTTAGGGAACTCTTCTCACCTTTGGTTTAAAACGTGTCCCATTGTTGTGTCACCCAGTTTTGACACATTTCGCATTCACACATTGTGATGACTATGTTGTTTCCGTCAGGTTTGTTTTGTTGACCTTGTTGTTTTGAGACAGAGGATTTCTGATTGTGGGGAGGCGCAAACATGTTTAATCAAGCCGGCTTGATTGATTCCTAATAGCTGTGAACGAATGCATGACATTTGCCGGAAGTAAGTTTCCATCGCTGACATCTTGGGTTTGTGTTTCCCTCAGACGCCATGACATGTTCTTGTTTATCCCTCATTTTGGACGTGGTGTTTTGAAGGAACTGTGTTTCACTTGGCAAAACCGTTGAGTATGTGCACTTAGGCAGGCACTGATCTTTCGACAGGACCAGAAGCAGTCATTGGGTTCCTGACCTAAGCGCACCTGTTTTGCGACCCTATGGGGCAAGTGAGGTCTGGTTGCTTTATCAGTTTGGCCCGTTTTGGAATCTTATGTTGACCCCATATCAATCAACCCCAGCTTATTAATATGGAGGTATTCCCCTCCAAAAGTCATCTGATTCGCCACGAACCCAGAAAATGGACAACCCCATGTCAATTAACAGGGATTGATTCATTTGCACTGAACATTCTGGGACTCGATTTCAGTTTCCCCCTTGCGTGTGTTTTGCCGGTTTCTCTCATGGCCACGTTTTTTTTCCTTCAAATCTTTGGGTGGAGCTCTCAGACGGCGGAAGGAAGGGGATGGAATCCATCGCCTGAGGTTTGAGAAGCCCAGCAACGAGAAGTTCCGGGAGTTAAAGGTCACTGAGGACGGCCCCCGGTCGGAGAGCCGGAAAAACTATGCCCTGGCCGTGTTTGGGTTCACAAACCCGCCAGGGAGATGGGGGCCGCGTTTCAAGGGAACGGGTCTTCCAGGACCAATTTTGTGAGGTGCCAGGTTTGTGGACTGGCAACCAAAAACGATAAATTTACTTGACTTGGTGTGGCAGTCCATTTGTTTTTTCGGGGGGCTAGAGCATTCAACCCCAAAGGAATGGAGGGAGCGGCTTTCGTTTTTTTCCAGCAAGACAGGGCCCACCTTCCCGGGCCAGATGCGACCAGGTCGGACAGGAGGGCTGCCTACCTGAGCGCAATCAACAGATGGCCCTGGCCCCAGCCTTCGCCTCGACCCGCGCGGGAGGGACAACCGCCCGTGGGGCAAGACTGTGCCAGGAGTTGACTTGAAATGATGTTGGTTCTTTGGCGAGAGGGAGAATCGCACATGAGCCGGGGTCTGCTTTTGCCACTGCGATCAAACGGGAGACATGCACAAGACAGTTTGGCAGTGTGGACTACTTTTCAGGGGGAACCACCTCAAAAGTGGAGGACATGAGTCCTCACCTAGATGATGTCCAACCAAGGGTCCCCTGTTAAAATGTAAGCACGTTTGGATTGTCAATGGAACATCATTGGTGAAATTTTACGGGCAGTGCCTTTGACCTGGTATAGACACGGCTGACTAGAGCGATTTGGGTTTGTACCAAAAGCCTACGTATACACACACAAGCACGCAAACACACAGCACAACACAAACCCAAATGCGCAAACACCACAACCCGGAAACATGCAAACAAGCACACTTTCAACCACGCAAAGACGCAAACAGGGAAGCACGCAAACATGCAAACGCGCCAAAGCAGAAATAAGCAAACAAACAAGCAATCGAACAAACACGTAAGTAAGCAAACAAAGAAGCGAACAGTCAATCAAATTAGCACACACCCATGTTTTGGGCTAATAGACCAAACATGTTTTGAACGAAATTGTTTGTAAGTTGTGTTGGAGCATGCCAGCTTTGTTGACATGTCATATCTGAAGACATTGAACGTGTTCTTAGACTTGTTTTTTCTATTGCCCCAACCATTCCGGCGAAACTGGGTTTGCCAGCCTACATACATGTACAATGGACGTGGTATAGAAGGGGTACGTGTTATTTGGCATAAACAAACTCGTGACCCATGATGATAATCCGAGCCATGTGAATCAGAATGTATTTAGCCCAGAGCCACGGTGCGACAATTCTTCGCCCAGCGCCATTGTGAATCCTCTTATGTTTGTGGGAGTTTTCGTGAGTTATGTCCCCGACTTGTCAAATGAACGGCTTCCGGATGCAAAATTCTGAATGGCGAGTCTAGGCGGTGTCCGTTGGGAGCAAACAGCTGGGCTCACTTCCCGAGTTCCGGCAAGACCATGTTCGTGTCATCAAACCAGTTTTGCATCATGTTGGGGCCACTCCACGCAGGAAGTGACCATATAATCCAACAATGGGCACCCCTATGAATAGGACGGGTTCATTAATCCCGGCTTAACGCTAGCCTCTAGGAGACCAACACAGCAAGTTACCCGAAGAAACCCACCTAATGAGAAGATTTCGGCGAGTTTCCTGTAGAATTTCCCCTACCGCTACCGCTTCGGAAAACACAAAAAACCTCCGGGGAGCTCAGCTCGCTCGCAGAGCGCCGGAAAAAACAATTGGATCGCAGGCCACAGAGCGGAGGTTCCACTTCGTGGTGACCATGGGCATGCGCATAATCAAGGCATACGGAGAAGTTGGGGCTGGAAAGGGAGAGAACCCCGAAAAACCTCTGCTGTGACTGGGACAAAACCCGCTGTACCTTCCCCTTCCAATAGATGCATGGCTCCTTTCTGATGCTTAGAGCCGGCTACCAGGGCATGGGGGCTTGTTTTTTGTTTTTGTTTTTTCTCCATTTGTTCTTTCCGCGGCTCATGCCCAGTTTGAAGTAAGGAGAAACCGAAGGACAGGAACGCGTTGAACCGGTGTCCGACCTGATTTCACCTTTAAGTTTTCCAGGTTTCGTCTATAGCCAAGGTTCCAAAAGGTAAAGAGGAAAGAGGTTTTTGGCCACAGAGAATAAGGTGCCCCTTGTTTTGGCACCAATCAAAAGTACTTTCCAGCTGTTTGATGTCAGCTTTCTCCATCATACGAGTCTGCGGGGCCGAAAAGTGTAAGCCTTCCCTAGCCGGTCAACGCAGCACGCGGAGAATGTGGATCCTTAGCCCCCGTATGTCCCGGCATACTTCAGTACATTGAAGCGCAAAACGGGTGTCCGATCCCAAAGGGAGCGATTCCTCCAAGACCTTGTCTAGGTCTCCCAGTAGCGCCCTTTTACCCTTTCTTGGGGGGCTACGGAAAAAAGGGTACCCTTATTCTGTAACCTCTCTCCTGGAAAACCTAGTTGTGAGTGTTTCCATGTGTTTTTTTGCGAATTCCGTGTCGATCCATCTTCAGCGGAAGGGGAGACCCGATCGGAGACCTTGGTTTTTGACCTGCGCCGAGCGGCCAAGCTCGTGGCAAAGGAAAGCAATCAAGCTGACAGAAGGGTTTTGTTGGATTCGTGTTTGGGTGTGACTTTGGTGTTGTTTTTTCTTCTTTTCTTTTTGTTTCCGAGTGTAAAAACCAAACACCATTTGAAGTGATTATTTCACCTTTTTTGTAGCTGTTTACTTTTCTGCAGGTTTCAGAACAAGCGTTGGTTCGCCAAGGAAGGGCTTTGTGACGTGTCCCAGTCAAAGGGTTGCTTCGAAGCTTTGTGGCCTTCTTTCCCGCTGGATCCAGATGGGAAGCCGTCATGTAAGCCGTAAGCTTGTTGAATTCCCGGTGAACTGCAGTGGGAACTGGATCCCCCGGGTTATCCAAGTACTGCAATCACTTCAGATGTATAAGAGACATGGATGGGACGGTGTACTGCGTGGTTGTTGGTCGTGCGATTTGACTTGAACAGACATGGCCAAGTCGATCGGCAAGCAGACAAAACGCATAGCGGCGAGCGCATTCCATGGAGTTGGTCTCGCCAGAAACCTCAAACATGTGTTGTTTCGCATAATTTCCCTGTAAATTAGGCCAGGGCTCCTTAAAAGATACATCTTGCCCATTTGAAACATGGCTTTTTCCACCAAAATAAAGTTAAAAACCACCATTTACAAGTTGCAATGTTCAGGTGTATAATGTAAGGATCCCTGCAGCCCCACAATAGCAAGAACAAGAAACGCATTTCTGTTGCTTTGGCTCGGCTGCGCAGGTGAATGGCATCGAGAACGATGCCTTCCTCATGAAGGAGGAGCTGAAAAATGCGGAGGAGGTCAACATCAGGTTCCGGAGAGCGGAGGCCGACAGCGAGCGGCTCGTGTGATATGCATGGCTGTGGGATTTAAGGGGGGGGGGTTAGGGGGGGTTGGGGGGGGGGTTGGGGGCGGGGGGGAGTTGGGGGGGGGGGGTTGGGGGGGGTTGGGGGGGGTTGGGGGCGGGGGGGAGTTGGGGCATCAAATTTGTGATACCAATGGGATTCCCTTCAAGGTGATGATGGCCACTTTGGGATACTGTCAAACACCACATTTGATTTTGGGTGCCCGCTCCACCAGAAATCCTTTGCCAGATTCCCTACAGCTTATTGACCCCCAATGAGCGTGTGGGGTCCTTTACCGGGGAATGGAAGATCTTTCTTTGAGTGACCATG